AATTGAGGAAATTTCCTTTTTGATTCAGTTAACTAAATAGTGGAATAAATGAGTGAATTTATGATTAAAATTACAAGTTCCACTACGTCCACCATACTGTGAATCACACATAACATAATGACGACGATATGGATCCTGTATATTGTACTTGATCTACACAGTGGTCGAACAGACACATGGAACATGCATAAATTGTTGCTCATACCGAGTAGGGTTTCATGAAATGAGAAGTTTTCTATTCGGTTGTTTGAAAACCGGGATAAATAAAACTTTGAATACAAGAAACATTCTCCAGGTACACTGGGGTAGAAATTCAGTTTGGTGAGGACAGTAAATGCACAAAAATAATAGTGAAGGGAAGAATCTTGTTAGTTGTACATGTATGCTAATCATAGTCGGATTTCGTATTTTGCGTCTGATACATTTCCCAATGCCAAATGTTCTAGAATCAACGCAAACATACAATCTGTGTTCCATTCGTACAAACACACAACTGCACTCACCTTTTTTGGAGCCGGAACCATGGAAATCCACATCCAGCCGTTAGATTACGGTCAGAAGAAACCGAGATTGGGGTCACTGGTGAAGCACGTACTATACTGTATTTTTGCCCACGAATATGGAAGACAGTGATCACTTCTTCAAAAATGTACCCAAGGTATCAAGTATTGAATGACTTGAGATAAATTGTTCCCGCGGAGCGTTATCGTTCTACTCCCGGTCAGCCCTAAATATCTACTTCCCTCTTAACCAGTATATTACCTTTCGCTCCCGATTTTACACCGCGCGTCTTATATGTGAGCGATTTGTTTCAAGACCAGACAAAAAATATCACGCTGGTTAAAATCTCAGATTATTTTGCATATATAGTTCTTGTTCAAAATTCCACAACATCCTGATTTTCATCACATTTGTTCCTTTCAACAATTATTGTTCCGAGCCGCATTCACGGGATTGAATGTGATATTGCCTTTCATCAGGCGAGACATACTTGCAATGATATCCAATCTGTTTCTGTTAGACGAATGCCACAATATGTACGGTTTCTCAATTTTGACGATGGTTGCTGGTGCATCCGTCGTAAAATAACAAAACCACAGTAAATTATACGATTCTAATTTATTCATCAGAATGACCCGTAGATTTGACACACGTATAATAATTTCATTTCGTTCATCTTCTGTTTGCCGTTCTTCATTTTTGAGCACTGGTGGCAGTCGCTTTTGCATGAAGACCACCAAGTTGACTGTCCAAAACAATCTACCAATTTCCTCGAAAACATACTGCACTATAACCATTGAAGAACATTGTCGAGGCAGCTAACTTATCCCTGTTTATAACACAAGGAAAAATGTTCGATTATATTCAAATCCTAACTGCTGGATGGTAAATTAACAAGTTGAACATTGGTCTTGACCCATCCAAAACCTGTGTTAAGGTAAAAAACTAATATATAATGTGAACCAACCGTTTTCCAATACCAACCCCAAGCGAAAAGATTCACAAACCTTCAACTGTGAAATATATGACTTCCGTGAATGTATTTTGAGAGTGATATTTAACGAAACCTCCCTTATCAGTGCAAGTTTGCGAAATCCAGATTGTAGTGTGCAGGAGAACAATAACAACAAGAAGGCACTCATAATTTATCTCCCTTCCAGCTTGTTAGGCGGGATCGATATTTACTTCTTTTGACAGGTGAAACGAAGTTTACTGAAAAAATATTTCAGCAAATAAGCTTTCTTTGTCTTGATTTATGTGTTCAGAAATTGGAGAATATCCGCTGATTGGGCAATAAATTGGGTTTACATTAACATTATTCACATTTTTTCAGGTAAGGTAATGGATCATTGCAATCATGTGCTTCTCGATCAAGTTACCTTTTGGCTTCAATTATATGCCACAGAAGTTGAAATATTTCAGCCGGTTTGGAAATGGTAACACCACAAGCCGCTTATTTAACGGGCAGCACACCTCAACTTCAACATTTCAAAGTATACTTCTATGCTTATTGGATCATGTGCTTAGTTCTTCCAGTATTAGGGATAAGTAGTTTGTAGCCAAATAATATATCAACTTACCCAAGGTAAAATAGTTGCATTACCTAGTGTATTTGCTGAATACTGAATGAAGTAAGATAATCTATTTAGAATAAGTTTGTTCAATTTAATAAACACCTTCATGAAAGAGGGAGTATCTATTAGAAACAATGAATTTCCACGTTGTTTTGCTTAAAATCCGTTCGAACTCGGGGATGTAACTTTTGAACTACACCAAATTTTATCTCCACACTCAAGGTCGCACAAAATCAAACGGTGACGGGATATAACCAACAATAATAGAAATGAGAGATAATGTCAGGACTAAGTCCACTTCACCTACAGCCATCAATATAAAAGTACGATATAGGAAACTGAAACGTATTTCCCAAATAAGAATGAAGTGGTGCAAGTTTGATTGACACTTATAAACATATGCAGTACTACGTACACGCGACATGCTAACACACATTTCTGGCATCATTTGTGAGGAATATAACAAGTAGTAAGAACGCAATTGTGGATTTAGGCCAGGGATAAATTTTTCAATGAAGAAATGAACAAATGTAATGTCCACAAATCATTAGGTAGATTCGGAGCGATTATTTTGCACCCAAAATAGCTACATTCTCAAGTCGATATTACGCATGATTTCTGGTGTGTGAAATTGCACCGAGTGATGTAAATCTTTGCAGGTTGGAGACTGCAACACATGACACTAAATGAACTGCAAAAAATGAATCAGACAGTAACAAGTAAGGATACAATCATCGTTTTGTGTATTAACTAACTGCATATTGTTTTCTCGATTCGCTTCGTGACTAAGTGTAACTTGATGACGTCATGTCAATAAATGCGGTCCGTTCAAATTTTTTTTACACCCACTGGCGAAGAAATACAGCTTACTTACATTTTCTCATCAGCCGTATAAGCCATGTAATTTCGATCGTCAACCTCCACGGCTAGTGAACCTTCGTGAAATTGTATTTTCACACGGTGTTCTTTCCCATCTGCCAGGAATGTCACACTTTTCATTTTTTTGTTCACACTGGTTTGGCCGAGTTGTAACGAGCCGGAACCTGTGTTTATCACACAGAATAAATGTCCGTCGCGTAGTTCTAGTGCGAAAATATCAAACCCAGCTTTTCCTCCGCCGGGAATGGGTTCTGTGAGAGTGGTCCATTCGGCATAGTCAGTCAACTCGTATTGATTGACTGATGAGCTGTAGATAAGTAAACCGTTCAGTTCCTTCGTACGGAATCGAAAGGAAACTTCACCGGTGAGGACAACATGCCAACCGGGGACGCGAATGTAACCACCGGGTCGACGGAATGACACATATTCCGTTCCAGATCGATGAGACCAGGTGTACGGAATTCGTTGTACAGGTGGATTGAGCAATTCGACACCACACTCTTCTTTAACTTCACAACGACTCAGATGAACCTCTACAATGTTCTGTTTCTCCACAGATAATAGGGGTAGCTTTTGATCCCGCGTTTTGTAAAATAGCTGAATGGGCAGCAGAGGAGTGGAGAGGGAGAACAAAATAAATATAACAAAACGATACAAATGATGTCATCAATCCTCACTAATATGGTGTTCACAAAAAAGGAATTCACCTTTTATTAGAATTAATTTTCTCTACTCTATGCAATTATTTAAATGAACGATAAAGGTCTGCAATAAACATATGTCTAAGGTACCGTTTTTACAAACATAGATCAGTGTCAAATATGTTCTGTCTCCTTTTGGGTATCCTTTCATTACCAGAAAGTAGCAAAATTAATGATAAGTACCAGGGAGTTGGAAAGTTAACGTCAGAAACATGTGGTAATTAATGTCACATCTTATTGACTTTCACTGTCCATTGGGAAATGCGTTGCTTTATCATATCAGTTATTATATTAGCCTAATGTAAATATGCATTTTGTGGTGGATCCTGGTATGGCGGGNCTTAAAGAAGGGTATTGATAATGATACCGGATATCATCTGGTGGCTAGAAGTTTTCAATTAGTAGCAGGTTATACGCGGAATCCGATTTTCCCACCTCTACGCAACATGCGGTACTGATGCCTCTCATAGAATCGCATTCTTATTAGGGTAAATTATCGATCCTGAAAAGACTTTCTCTGAACAATTGAGGTACAAGCAAAGCACGAGTATTTTGGAAAGATTTGCTGACTCAGTGTTTGAACCAGGTTTCAAAAAATATACACGCCTTGTAAAAAGTATTGTGATTCAATTTTTAATTTCCGCAATGTTCGAACGGGAATGGATATACATATAATGGATAAACAACGCTCACAGCGTCCGCTAGATTACCAAAAGAGATTGGTGTTTCAAATGAAGTCTGGACGAATTTTCGATGAACATTCACGTGAGTTTCGGTTCAAACGTGGTGGGAAAAGGTCAAGTTCACATAAGCACATAACTGACAGTGAAACTTTTAACTCGGAATAATTTTTATGAAGCTGGCTTGACGATTTGACCGCCGCACCTTGGCTTCAGCGTACTTACGTCTTCAAAAGCACCAAAAGGGATTCAATTATTGTCANCAAGGTCGTTTATTTGCAAACGAATTGACACGAGTATGGAATTGTTAATAATAGAGGTTGCCTAAGTGTGAGGAAGCAATACTGTACAAGAACCCATTGGCTTTATAGCCCATATTCGCATGAGACCTGACAAAGAATATTGTAGTCAATCACTACCAAATTTCAAAATGTCTGCTGCTACGATGATCAAAATGACCCTGAATGATTAATGCATCATCGAGGTTATCACATGCGGCAGACCTTGGACAGAATGCAAGGTATGGTGGCACTCTCATTCAATATATTGCAACCAATGATGAAATGATCACTATAGAAAAATTTGTTTCGAAGATGCGTTTCCTCAGCCCAATTACTAGGCTATTCACTAATATTCGGCATGGTTCATCAGTGCAATAATCCGATCGAAAGACCACGGATAATGCCATTGGCATTTGTCGGGAAATCCGATGCTGGCTCTCTCCTGTGTTTCGCATTCAGATCAGCTGATTTCAGAGTTTCAGCGTATCCTTCATTCTTTAGCCTTGGCATGCAGCCAATCGGAACTGGTTATTCACAATAGGGATTATTTGGAGCATATGCAATTGCAGCTTTGATGTGCTCCGTTTTAGGGCTACAAAGTGAATCTCTCTTTTGTATTTTTTTTTCTTTTAGTTACGCTAGAACTTGTGTCCGGGAGCATAGCAAAGTGAGTGCACTAATCAGCCACTAGAACACCGTGTTCAAGTCCACCTCTAATACATCGCAAGAATAAATTTAAAGCGTCTTCAATTTTAATCCATGTTGAGGTTATTGAACGTGGTTATTCAACGTGTCACACAACGCTGTGAAGACATCTGGCAGTATTTGGCTGTCTTCACTCGTACTGCAGACTGCGGTCATAATGATTATCATAGTCGCTGAGACGAAAACCGTGAGACGAAGCAAATATCGGTCGTTCCAACTGACAACACGGTGGAACAACACGTAACATGAGAGTGAGAGAGAGAGTAGGTGGTCAAGCAGCAAGGCAAATATAACGTGAATAACTATTTGCTTGATTTTCGTAAATCGGGTTTGACAGCATGGATGGCTAAAACCGCTACAGATTTCAGTAGCTTTGCGCCTGTTGTGTTTTAGTTAATGTGAAATGCGTGTTTTGAATTATTACAATGAGTTTGTTGAAATAGGTGCTGCCCTATCAAAGATCTATGTCTTTTCTGCTCATGCGATGCCGTAACGACTTCACAACTGTAGTCCATCGCGTTTTAAGCCCCAACAAGATGTGTTCGGCCATTCGGTGACAATTTGATTCGTGAATGCAATTTGATTAGGCTGAGAGGGGCAATAGTTATTTCACTGATTTCGTTGCTATTCGGATAATTGTGAAGATAATAGCCTGGTCAACTGTGAAATAGACGCTTTTTATGCCAGAGTTTAACCGCTCACTCCATCCGAATCTATGATGACAACATGAATAGCTGGTCAAAACAGCTTTGTATTGAACCGTACCTTCTCTCGTTTTTTGTGTTATTTGCTCTTTGTTGTTTTTTCTGATATGCGATTTTGTCTTCATCTCACGGTTCTTATCTCAGTGACCCTAGTCATCACTTTGACTGCAGTATGGGAATGTACAGATTCACTGAAACGACGGTGGAAATATTTTACAAACAGTGAATTGTATATTCCATACTTATGTGGAGAAATAGGGTTTTCTTACATCTTTAGGTCAGTGTTAAGAAAATTTCCTTTTGTGCAGGTCATCTTTGACGCCATAGGATTTTATGAACTCGAAGTTTATGCATAATATTTCATTATCGATTTACGGTTTATTAACGTATTATCATATGTCGAATTCATTGTGTACCGAAGACATGTCAACAATGATAAATGAACCCTTGAGTTATTGGCCGAATAAGATAAACCATGAACTTTAATACTGAACTTACTTACTTCCTAATTTTGAGTTTTCTCTTTTAAGGCATCACACATTATTACGTAATCATCCGAGGTCACGCTGGTTCCATGGATGGAACAAGAAAGTGTACGTGTAGCAATAAGTGCAATGTTGATCATGGTAACTCAAGTATATTTCCCTGAAAACAAACACGTTTCATATGATTGATTTCCCAATGTTACTAGTGAACAGATGATTCATATAACTAAAAATTCCCGCCGTTCTTCATATCGTGGAGAAGTCACAGTGAGAAAATTTGCCAAATAGAACCAACTGCTCCCCAAGCCCCTGATAAACAAGCATGCGTTCTTGTTTTAAAGAATTGATGATTGTGCATTTTGCGTGTAGCAACTACATACAACCGTTGGTAAACCATGTTTCTTCTCGAAGTGTACAAGACAAATGAAACATTACTGCTAGTTTTTATTCACCCTCGGGGTTGGTAATGACGGTGTTTCTCTTCCAACCGAGTCACAATAAACTACAGCTTTCGTCCTTACTTTCCCTTGGCTCACCATTATTAATATGCAGTCTATTTCCACATGATGTAACATTTGGTAGTATGCATACACCCAGTTCCACGTTGCGGCTAATGCGATTCACGGATCAGTGGACTGAACATGAAAATGGTCTTGCTTTCATCCTACCTTGAAACTGAAGGTCGTCAATCGTGTAAAGCAAAGTCCGTTTGAACAACTTAGGTGAATGAACCAGGTTGCAGTAGAAACGACTGATGAAGACGAATGCTGTTGGAGCACACTCAATTGAATTTGTCGCTCATGATTGACTGTTCGAAAGAACCCTCTGTCTTACGGTGAAACCCGTTTCAAAACCTGTTTGTTGAATTGTTTGAGAAATAAACGAAGCTGACTGGACGAATCCAACAAAAATGGCTGTCGCGAAAACGTTTAATCGTAATATATTGTAACAAAACTAATAAAGTGGACAATATCCTCGTGTGCTGCACCTTTTTCAACTGAGTCTAGCTCAAGTTATGTCCTTTTGGCAACGAAAGGTTTCCACGCATGCATTTTGTAGTTGCCTAATCCCAATGATAACTCACTGTTTTTAAAAATTGTTAAACTTTTCCATTTCTTTATACTCTGTGAGGACTATAAATAGATCAAACGTGTTGCCTTATTTCTCTATTTAAACATCTTAAATCAAAACAATGAGTGTTCATTGGGCACGCAGCGAAATCTGGGGTATGGAAGGTAGACATGTGAACGTAAAGCTTATAACCTCCTGAATATTGGCATTTACATTAACTAACATCAAAATTTCTTTATCGAACAATATGTTTACTTTCATTCTCAAATTGAAAATCATAGGTATAAATAATTATTTTGGTAATCAAACCCGGCAGGCTTTATTCGTAAAACATCCAATCGTAGCTTTCAAACACTTTTATGTGAAATAATGTATACCCCAACACATGGAATAGCTTATCAGAACAGTTACATTTTATAAAAAAATATTCACACAATTCATTGAAAAATCCGATGGCTTTCTGCACAACCTCCTGTTCTTGTTGGTATTTGTTCTGAGGTCAATGGTAGATATCTTGTCATTTTTGTGACAGCTCAGATCAGACACGGTGTTTAATGTGTCTGTTTGTGCGCGCATGTTAAAATGATTTACCAATATCATTTATATATATCACCTATACATTTTTGTATAAAAACAAGGTGCATTCCTATAGACCTTACTTCTTAACTGTTATTCTCTTTTCAGTTACTTCGTTTGACGTCAGACATTACTAGATTTATTTTGCAAAAGAGAACACAGATGTGGACTTTTAGCTCAAATCCCAATTAAATGATAGGAAGCGTAACAAGGTCCTCAAGCACCGTGGTTTAAGATAAACTAAGTTCGGTGGATACTGAATTGTTCGTGCATTAAGCGTTAAATGTTGGCAATATATCCCCATATCTACAAGTGACCTGTGGACAATACATCGAGTTTGGCTTAAAAAATGAACTATTCTATTTTTTCTTAATTTACAACATTTTCAAGTTGGCACCACTTGTTCCTAAGACTCAATTTACTGCCTCATCGAAACGGCACACAAATCCTGTATTGGTACGGTAGAAAAACATTAGACCTTCTACACAATGTTTCCAGATAGAGTTGTGGGATATTGAAATTGCAGAAAAACTTGAAAAATAAGCTAGGATAGTAATAATGCCGATTTACGCAAGATTGTCCTTTACACGTAACACTAGGACCGGAATCGTGATTCGAATGGTAAAACTGCGATCACTCACAGGTTGGAGCCCATAACCGGTCAGGGCAATTATTTATGTTCCTTCTTTTTAGTTGTTCCCTCGTCCCATTCGCAGACACTTGACGCGGCGATGTTGTATCCGGCTTGTTTGTACATTGCAGTCACAAGCGCAATCTGTTCAGCCCTTGTGCAGTCAGATAATCTGATTGACTTCAACACAATGATCCGCTCATTCTGCGATGGCCTTGAACAACACTCTAGGCCAATTAGTTACAACATCCCGACCACCATGGAAGCAGTGGGAATTCGCTTCACAATAGCTCTCCCCTGTTGTCCGCGACAAATATTTTGGAGTGCATTGTGTCTTCCGTGACTCTAACCACACCTCATGCTTACTCGAGAATACTCCTAATTTCCTAATATCCGGAATAGACACCCAACAGGAAACAGACGTGTATCACTGTTTTCGAGTCCGATGCGTTTTACGTGCGCAATCATCGCCTATTTTACAGAAGAACTGTAGTCTGTATTGAACAGAGAAGACGACTCACCAAACACGTGTCCTGTTCACTATAAAAATGCCCCTGTGGGCTCTAATGGGAAGAAAATGCAAATTGATCGATTGGTTTCCGATCCGTGTTGAAATCATAACTTCTCAAAGCATTAGTAAACAAGTTTACAGAAAAAAAGATTCAAGAGGCATCAATCCACAGCTGAAAAAATCAGTGTTTGATTGGATAGTGGAACTGTAACAAATTGAAAACTCCTTTTATGTATTGCTCACGAACTATTTTGTCTGTTTGTTGGGCATACAAAAACAGGAATATGGAGGCGATAGTTTATAGAATCACAGTTAAATTTTCTTGTTTGCAAGCAAAAGGACACCCGATTTTACAGATTGTTGTAGAACAATGACTGCAACATCTCTCTGCTTTGAACAGGAACGAGAGAGAAGAGACACACATTAGGTGAATGATAATGATAAACCTCTGTTTTTTCTTGCTTTGGTAGAAGAAATGAAAAGAAATACAGCCACTTTGTTAATAGTGAAAAACGGGATGAGGTATGGAATACTTACCCGTCGCATGCAACCTTTGAATCGTTGTCTGGGGACAATTAGACTGGATCCAAAAAGTTTCATATCCGGTGTAGTTGGTCTGAAACCCAGGTGTACGGCTTGGATGGATAGACGTGAAGTGGTGTACGGTACTATGTAAGTAATGGGTGGTTGATTGTCCAGGCTAATGACAAGCTTTGGAAAGAAATAGGGAAGGAATAAGCCATTGAGTGCAAATATTCTAGAAGTAAAGAATTACCGGAGAATAACAAAAACGTTATGAATGACGTGCGGTTAGATATATTCTAACTCCCTTGATCCAGTCACTTGACGGATCAAAATATCAATATTGATATAAGATTATTACATACATCATTCTTTTTTACAAGGAATTTACAAAAGATATCATTGTGATTCTCAGACACACCAGTTAATAAATCTCCTTACATCTTAAAGATCGGTACGTGCCAAGTACTGCTTCAGCCGAATGGACGGCCCTTTTCAAAAATTTGGACATTCAAACCTACCAGGTTAGTTAGATAAAACAGACAAACGATGAAGTATTTTCGTTCAAGTAAACCACAACTCGTGTATCTAAGTAAGCCCGTTCATGTGTTTCATTTTGAGCTTAACATGAGGACATTCTTGAGTAGTACATCAAGGGATCGGATTCCGTTTGGTAAAAGGGCTCTTTTGCTGTTCAGCAGATATCCAACTGTACTCCAAACAGGCACATCTGTAACATGATGCAGTGGCAGAGGCAATAAAAGTATTTAGTCGAAGGAAATTACCTCTGATAGAGGGAAAACGAGATTTCTATAGCCCGAGGCATCGGATGGATGCGCCTTTATAATTCAGGAAAATGTCGACAAATCTTTGTCACCGAATGCACGCATTTGATCATGATTTTCTTGCTTGTTTAACTTCATTGTAGAAATCGCGTGCAAAACATTAACTTGTCGGTTAGAAAAAGAAATAATCTGGTGCTACTTAGACACTCAGATAGATAATCTTGTCTATTTTTTCCGGTGAGTTATTCAATCATTTAATTTGAAGTACTGGGTAGGATTTGACGTGAATGATTGAAACTGAAACAGAACTTTAATAATACCGGGATTCCAATTGTGTGTTTTGGAGTACTAAATAAGATGAACGTTACTTCAGTTAAATTTTGAGGTAGGCTTAGCAGAAGGCTACATGGTATAGGGTTCTGCTGTATTGTGGCAACATAATCAAGTGTCCAGAAGATTTAAAGGAAGGAAGGAGGAATAAAATCCCCCGATCATGCTGGTGATTCACGTTTGTGGTCATTTTCGAGCGTTGCACTTGCAATGCAATCAGTGATTCCGTGCGCGTTATTAGCGTACTTGTCAAGAATCATGGGAACGTAATTGACTCCAAATCGGTCGAAGTTACTTTTGATGGACAAACCCGCTTCAAAGCTGTTGTAGACGCAATACGGCGGTTTACCTACAGTCTTAATTGACTCTGAACAATGACTTTAAACTCTTTTCACACCCCAGACAGGTGAAAACATGTTTAAATCTTAGGAAGAATGTGGACTGAAATTTACAGTTAAGTGTCACGAATTCTCACTTCGAAATTCTGAATCAAATATAACCCTAAATCGATCAGTTTATGAGACAGGTTGTGTGTTCTCCTTTAAGCCTTAGTAAGCCATTGAGATTTTAGTAGTTTAATCCGGAGTTTGATTATTTATGCGAATGTCTTTTATGTTCAAAGAACATTGATTGAATCTCTTCTCACAATGAGGACATTGATCTGCTTCAAGCATGGGTCTCTGTTGTTGAAGTTCTTTACTCCAAGTAGCAGTTAACCGATTCCGCAACTGTGAAGTTTTCCAGCAGTATTTTATGATTCAAATAACTTCGATTACTCCAGTTACACAACGCATACCGCATTGCGGTGGTCAGATGCTTTGTTAATTTTAGTCCAGACACAAGTTAGTGGCCCTTGATCGAGTGCACAGGAACCCATGTTGATAATATGAGGACACGCTGTGCTTCTCAAAATGATTCATCACTAAATCGGCAGTTAGGGATTCCGTCACTTCGAACAATAAGAAAGGAAAAAAGTGACGGGTTGGTGTTTAACTGGATCCTCTGTTGCACTTGCAATTCGATGAAATGTCTCCTTGTTTCCGTGATTGTGAAGTCTCTCTATTTCAAACAATTCTATGGAATAGTTGATTGACTGATTCAGCTACAAGAGCACGGGTTTGCACATGCAAAAGACCCTTACTTGAATGAACACTGGTTTTGAAGCCAAGGATTTCGACCGGAAATTCTTATGTTTAGTGAAGGATTTGAAATATGACCCAGAAACGGCCGCAGTCGTAACTGAAAGTTGGTAGATGCAGTAAACATTGAAACATATTTGCGTTTTAGTCGTTTGCAGTGTCCTTAGTTGTTGTTTTTCAAAACTGCGTCCTGCCAAACTTAAAATAGGACCTCGTGAGGTAGTATTCAGGGCTTTGCCCGAATGTTTGTTACGGGAAATTTGTGCGGAACATCATGGTGTAGGTCTGCTTTTTCGGTACATTCACATTTCCTAACATTGGATGTATTGTGCCAGAAACTGAAATGCTTCAAAAAAACATCACACAAGTGTTGACCGTATCAGTTGTTGTAGCAAAATGTCGCGAATGAATGCTATTTGGCGAAAGGATATTTGATGGCAACAGGGCGCGCGAGCTTGTAAGTGCATCTGATACTAATTTTGTCTTTTCGCTGAGTTCAATTATACTGTGCTAGTCTCCAGTCACATTGCTTTCTCGTAGTTGACAAACTGGCGTCATCTAAAAACTAAGGTTCATCACTGTTTCGTCAGAACGCTTCTCTTCTCCCGATGCTTCATCACAATTTCTCGTACTTGTGTGTCGTACAAGTTTCACACTTAAGAATCGAAAATATTACCTATTTTGTAAGCAATCAGAGGTACTACCAAATCTGTCGGACCAATTATTCAGCCCGCTTCCCCTAAACGTTCGGTGCACGTAGAGGTAAATGTATTCCAGGCAGCGACTGCACGATACGTTTCATCTTCTGTATTCTTTTTTGCAACTCTTTAAATTACGTAATCCTCAGGCAATTGGCACAGAAACTTTGATATAACTCCACGAAGTTTGGTGAACACCAAGGGTAACCCCATCTGATTATCATGGGTAACCAAATGTTTGAATGATTGGCGATTTCCAGTGCACAAAACAACGAAAAATGTATTGGTAAGTATCCATTGGCTTGAATGTGCGTAATGTGGACAAAAGCATGCGAAAACGAAATGCAGAACTGTACCTTGTTCACAAATTTGACCTAGAATATCACCCTTTAAATGCTAAAAAACTGCGTGTTATGGTTTTTGAACGATATCACATCATCATCACCACGGAGGAAGATAAGCAAGGTTTCATGCACGAGTACCATAACCGTCTTCGGTGGGAAACGGGTCGAGGCTGGACAACGTATCACATGATATTTCGATCGAGCAGAACAGAATGGCACCAGAAGTCACACAGAACAGTTGAGTTGAACAACAACGGGGCCTTTATGATTCACAGGAAGTGTGAGAATAAAAATCCCGCGAAAACGTATTCAAATTTTTCCGTCCCAGGTCATTTTACATCCAACACGCTTTTGAGAGGAAAACTCAGCATAATAATTTCTAATCAGAGTAACTGTGTGCTATTGCATCCATCTGACATGATGTAATGTAATTAGAAGAGCATTAGATCACGGCATCGCAGCTGTCCTCAAATAGGACGAGGGTCAATCGTGGGGCTCAATCTACGGTGATTTCGACTGATCTGCACACCTGTGTTAAGTGGAATTTTACGCAACTGTAAGTTGAGTGAAATATAAATATTAAAGGAAGAGTCGTGTTGAACAGTAATTCGGAGCGAGATATGAACCCTAGGCTAAGCACGTTTCGAATGCTACACATTATTATGCCTGGACGAAGTTGTTTTAACTTAACAATAAACCACTAAAAAAATCAAGTGTAAGTTTATTTAAAAGGATTAACAATAAAGGATGGCGTCATTCCGGGTGGGAGCTGTTCACTTCGTTCCTTTTTGATCCGCTCATTTTACTAGTAATTCATTTCGGAATATATTAGGCAACTAAGTCACTCTATTCAATGGCGATCGTTCATTTTTCAAGGAAGCACAACTGGGCTTGTCAAGCAAATCAGGGAAACACGTTACTTTTGAATGCTGCAGACTTACATACCTTCTATCCTGTCTATTTGTATCCCAACTTACTTTTGCTAAAGGGAAAAGTCAGTCGATGTCAGTGCAAATTTTCCTCAATTCGCTGATTCAAGAACCCCCCACACATTTTGTAGATTTTCTGTGTTTGGATGATGGATTCATCTTCTAAAATGAGACATGAGCTGAAAAGCTCGGAAGTAATCGACAGCTGTTTCATCCGGATTGCATCTCATCTACCCAACTTAGGATCAAACCCCGGATCGCACAGGGAAAACGCAAGCATACTACCCAATCGGCTCCCGGCAGCTGATCAAATCATTTTTCATTCTGTAAACGATACAACACAACCCATATTCACTAGCTTGTGGAGGACAACAGATCTCTCTAATCTCCACAGTAAACTATGGGTTTCTTGGCTAAAATGAATGAATGACTGGTTCGCCTTGGTGTAGGATTGAGACACGTGAATCCGGCCTAAACGTTTTACAGTTTTTCACTCAAAATCTAAGAAGCTAGGTGATCCTATTTGAAAGTGATACCTGCGATTTCTCGGCATAATCGGGATCACCTTTCACCTTGCGAAACGTGTGGATCATTTACCAAGGATTGTGAAGTGCTGCACGCAACACAAGCTGCGTATTCGTTGGTGTATTCTGTTGTTTCAAATCTGTTCCCCGAATCGGGAAAAGAAAGACAGTCCATATTTCAAAGGGATAGGATGTTTTACGGAACGTACAGTCTTCAAACTGCGTTTGAAAAAGCCCAAAGTTAATGAGTAATGAATTGCGTGATGGTCTGGCCTTCTCCTAGCTCAATAAATTCCACTTCTGGTAATAGAACGCGCAAATGAACAACTAAACATGCACAAATTGTTGTTGTATTTCCATCATTTTTAAAGTGAAAATATTATGAAATCACATGTGTGCTAATGGACTGTCTGATGGAAGATTTCTGACTGCGCCTGGCAGAATCGGCCTAATAGTTGACGACATGCAAACTGAGTGAATGAACACGGCTTAAGTCCAAGGAATGTGAATAAGATCGCGCATTGCACAGCTCCAAGTCTCCATTATGACCTGCAGTAGTGTGAAAGTAATTAGCCAGAGTCGAGGCTACGGACTGTTAAAAATATTCATTGCACTTATCTTTCTATCACAAAATGCATCAGTTTTAGGATCACTTTTGATCGAAAATCAAAACAATCATGAGGGAGGGTGATGCAAATGTCATAATGAATAATTTGTTTCGCGGAAAATTTCTAAATTAATATTGGTACATTGCAGATTGTCATGCTAATATGCGGCAGTTGAATTGCAAATTATTTTTAATTTTCTTTGCCGGAATTCGCTTCCGAAGCAGTGGTGACCATCTAGACATCCTAGGATACTCGCACTCCAAATAAATGAAATACGAGTGATAAGTGGGGAATTAACGATCTCCTAAGGAATGAAACCCACACCGAAGATCATCAGCAGTGCCTGTTGCCCGTGAAAAACCAACTGGTCTAATCTAAACATGCACCGTCTCAATTGATTGAGCCATTCGCACGAAGTGGCAACCGTCCACCGTGTAGCGCAAGGGTGAGGTTTTTATTTCCCGACCCAAATGTTCGCGGTTCGAGTCCCGACAGGGACACAAAAAGTAGGCAATACTTACGAGTCCCAAACATGAGGAAACAGCTGTTCACTGCTTTTCTCGGTAATCAGAAACATTTCACCTTATTTAAAATATTTATGGGATTTATACAAAATTTAGATGTACAGTAACCGGGTGAATCGGGTATAACCGAATCTTCATACATTGAGAATCAAGAATGAACGGAGGATTCTTCCACCGACATTTCCTATCCTACTAAATGGGGACAAAATTGACAAACCATTGCAGCAGCCACCCTCGTACCCTTTTTATCATTAACTGGCATAATTATGCCAGGTACAGAAAAGATGGGACACGACATGGATGGCTGAAATCCCCGTTCTCGTCCTATAAACGTTTTGGCTACCACTGACAAAGATAATCCGACCAGCCCACTGCGTTGTACGAAAAAGAGACCACGCATTGCGTGAGGAACAGTAATTATTTTCTGATTATTACGAGCACTGGATAAAACTGTTCCCGTTGTCCGTGAATGATACAGCATAATCTGTATTCCAATACTATCTTTAGCCCCCACGAGTATGGATCCGATGGAACTTTTCCGAACACGGACTTTATCCACGAAAGCTATTCAGCATTCACAGTAGGGTTTACCTTGTCCCGTTTCATTCTGGTTGATGAATTAAGAGAAGCGTTTTATCAATGGGGTTTGTGAGGGAAAACTGGTAAACTTGAATAAATACATCCTTGACGGTCAACTCGATACCGTCAGAATTAGACAATTGTATCTGTTCACTAACTACAGTGCCTTTGGTTATCATGTCAAAGCTGTCGCCTAATTTCACAGAGGAAGCACACCCAATCAATTTGATCATTCATACCGAGTACAATTACGCAACACAAATAACGAGAACCAGTACACTCTGTTCGTTTCAATACAATTCGCCAGAGCACTCTGTTACACGGTCTGAGCAGACCTACCGAGTTTTTGACAACCGCTTGTCTTAACTGGTGCCATTGAGCATCCACACAAGTACCGTAGTCTGATAGACAATCAATGTGTCGTCGTTGTAAACCACCATTTTCGAGACTTGGAAGACCATGTTGTGCGTAGTTCTCCGCAGTGAAATGTACACTTCCGTTTGTCAAATAGGTTATCACGTGTAGTTGTATCGTCTCTGTAGCAGTCATATCCGGGCTGACAGATAAAACTAAACCAGGAAGGGAATGGTATAGAGTGTGATAGTTTGAACAAGATGTTATACGATAGACACAGAACAGAGTGTAAAAATGAACTAAACAACCGGGAAAAAACACAGGTTATTTGGGGTTTTGCCTAGGTTTGACGACAGAGGAACAGAAAATGTTTAACCCTGCGAAATGTCAAGCGAATAATAAACATGTTCGAATTATAATATCATTCAATAAATCTAAAATTATCGGTACGTTGAAATTAATAATCGGAATATCGGACAGATGCGGGTGATTATTGGCAAACGTGTTACTACTCACGTGCTCCACTTTTGCATCTCAGTTTAACCTAAGTGTGTGCTGCTCAATAATTACCGTTCTGATACAGTCTTATGTGATGAGCTTCCGAGAACACTGCCCACTACGCTGCGATCAGCTCAGTGGTGGAAAATGGATAAATTATTATATCGTGTAGCTTTCCCGTTTTCAACATTTGAACTATTAGCGAAAATTGCATAAAATCATTTGACGCTTTTATGTAATGACTCTAGCCCGGAGTGAAAAAACTCATGCTGGGATTAATTATTTTCCTGGTTTGTTACTTTTTTGTTATCACTTTAGAACATAATATCTTTTAGATAGCTTTTAAAATGGATCTACCGGTTGATGGAGTAAGTAATCATAATTTGCTGTAACGGTATCTAGGTATTAAGGTTATATGTAGCAACTTATGTCAAATACCATTTTGGATTCCTCAAGCACATCAGGTAAAACCGAGCGCATATTTCAATATGTATCATTGGGATAAACACTTCAATGAGTAAACCGCTTCAAAAGGAGACCTGCGGCCTAGGTGTGTGATGCTGAGTATTATATGTATCACCTGCACTGTATCGTGTGAGTGGATACTTGTACATACGATGAGAAACGTAGATTTATTTGGCATACAGTTCTGTAGTATGGTTTTGGAATTCACGTGTTCTGATGTCCATCACTTCTTGGGGCCGATGATCCTGTGCCGCATCTAGTGCTCCGTGTCTTTCACAAAACGTGCATTTGCTAAAGCTGACATCTTAAATTATTACTTCTATGGAACAGCCAATGACCTCAAAAGTGTTGGAACATTCGAGTAATGCGTACACAATAGTAGCTGAGTCTGCAGTGAGCGGATGACTGTTATTACCGTAGGAGATATTTTTTTTACTGACGGCGTTATGTTAGGTGATCACGACGAGAAGAAACATTTGTTTGAGTATGCGATCCTAAGTGGCATTACACCTAACATTGAGTTGTCTAATGGATAATTATATATATATATATGTAAGGTTTGCTTTATATCCCGACGATTGTGTGACAGCGCACAGCTGTCAAGGCTTATCAGCCGAAGGGGCTTGAATATCTGGGTTAATTAATCAATATGTGCGCAGACTGACAAGGAGCTGAACCGTTGCAGGCGTGTGCAATAATACGGATTTCATGGGCAAAAAACACTGAATCCTAACATTTATTATTTGTTTATATCTGAGGTTGGTGTACGTTGATATAATTAGTGCTGAAAGAGGTACGAAACGCGGTTTGTATGTATTTAACAGGGTAGAGTAATTCGACGTCCTATTTTACCAAAGTATCAAATAAATATGGTCACCCGACAATGGCCATAAATAATTCCGCAGCGCCGAACTAATTATAGGTAAAAAAACTATACATTTGTATGGAAGGAAATCAGCTGAAAAGTTGCACAACAATTTCGAGGGGAACCAACTCCGCGTTGCTGACATACAATACAAAAGCGGCAGACCAATAGTAAACATAAAATATCTAAAATTTTTGCTATTATTTTTTGATAAAAGTCTCACAACTAAACATGGATTTCACGTCCTTAGTAAGACGTCAGTTTTGATAAAAAAACATGAACGATTCAGATTTGACTTTCGCTGTCAGAGAACATATTTTCAAAACGATTTTAATTTATTGTATCGAGCTTGGTTTGGTTGACTATATTATTGACCCTAACGGTTAGCCAAAATGTAAACGTTGCCGAAATATATTTGCAAACGCACTGATGGGGACGTGGAGTGATTTAATTAATACAGGTTATGCAGTACTGGTTTCCTCATTAAGAGCCACAATAGAAGCAATTTTGTCCACTATCTATCAAACTGCTCTCCAGGGTGAGTATTGTGCATCGCAATCTGCCCGTTAAACATGAGGGATATTACGTTCAAGGTGGAAAAGAGTATTTGTTACACAAATTAGCTCTGACCCTCAGCGCTTATTCAGAACTCTCCTTAGACCATATCCAGCGGAATTCCAACGAATACTAAGATTGATTGTTCAGTCATAGACCAAAGCGCTTAAACTATCCGGGCTGGGTCTCAGCAACTTGCAGCACATCATCAGAGTGTATGATATGATGTTCATTCGTCAATGTGCGCTTGAAGACTAGGCTAATCAAATAAAGGTAATTGGTTAGCCATGGGATCTAAAATTCCCTACCACACAACTACCTTAAGTGGGTAGGACCATTTAAGCTGAATTGCGTGTCATTTTGAACATGTCGTCTAATGAAGAAATCACTCTGATTTACATCGACCGACAGTAGAACTGACGAGTATACGAACTTCGTTTTGAGGCGGAATAGCAGAACAGCAAGGCCCAAATCTTTATTGTTCGGTGTCATGCAAATCACACACTGATAGACCAACTTTCAAAGTTTGAAACCGGACAAATTTTGTTCAGAGCTGTGTAAACTCCACCAAATTTTACAGAACAAAATGACCTTTAGTAAGTACTTTTTCAGAATTCTCGTAAATCGATCAGTATTGGTTTCTCATGCAATCTTTTGAAAGTTCACAAAACAATCGCACAACCATTTGTAAGGGAATAGATCCTGAACAGCCTGGTAAAAACGGGCAAATGCTTCTTCACTGAAGGAAACATTCGACATCCTTATAGGGGTGACTAAAATGCTCTGTGAAAACTGTCGCAGACAGTAGTAAATTCTACTACATAACAAGTAACAGTTTTCAATCTTAACCATGATGGTACTCATCAGTGACCTAATGACGTAGATAAATACGTGCAATGGTTTCTGAGTTTTATATTAATTATTGGTAGTTATTACTTTGCAAGCATTTGTTTATCAACTCTTCATGAAGCACAAACCCAGTCATCTCTGCGGTCTACAGTGAAGTTTGAAAGCATATTGTGTGCTCTGAGGGAATATTGCATTTCCAATAGCGATACATTCTGAAGTATATGTTCAGTTCCTATGGTGACCACCAGATTGATGCAATATCCAGCTGTTTGACCTACTTTTTATAGTGTCTACCCTAACAGGACGTCCCGCGGCACGATCAACCAGAAATAATCAAAACCATGACTATGTTTTATCAGCGAACAAAGTACAAAACACATGACTGGAAGTTCATGCGTAACTGGGATAATCTGTTACTTATGGATCCGGCATGAACGCAGAGCTTTATTATCGGTATAAAAATCTGCTGGTAGTTTTACCTAGACAGTGATAATGAAGTCAACTTACCGGTGGAATAAAGTATCTGATCTGCATTCCGAGTTCTGAATTGAAAGGATATTTCATCTCCCGCCTGATTCGCCTTCAAGAGAAAACTTGCTCGGCTGGATTCGTTGAGATTGAGTATTTTTGAGAAATTATCTGCCAAGGAATACGTAACAAAACGGTCGAACGGGTTGCGATAGATCAATGAAAAACTTTTTTAATTACAGGAACGATGCATTTCAAATAATTTAATAAAGCCCATGTGATAACCCTTCGCATTGACATAACCTGTTATTATGTTTTTTATGTATTATGTTGAATTAGAGTATGTGTGCGGTTCATATAACATCATATTGGAGAACGATTCAAAGGTCATTTAAATTTAAACCTTCATCTAAAAACTGGATGGCCATTTAAATAATAATCGCCCATGTTAACAAAATTCAAGTAATTAATTGCTTCGGGAAAAAGCCATAATTATCCAAAATATAAATTCACTAAAGATATTTTCTTATTAGTTCCACTTATCCGACAAACTTAAAAAAATGTAAATGCCTGAAGCCTAATGATTAATAATATTTAAAAACAAATTCTATTAGGATACTTCTTTTGATAGGCTTCTATGATGGACGGTGATGAAACGGTTGACTAGTTCCTCATTAATCATTTATTATCCTTCAATGATTTATGGTTTATTAACGGATTGGAATTTGTAATAATAAAAAAGGGAATTTTCTGAAGCCTCTTTTTTATTGGCCATGCAAAATTATATTAGGCAATGACAGGTAAAAACTTGATTTGATAGATAAAACATTGCTGTTGACAAAAGCAGGAGAGTTGTTTGAAAGCAAAAACGGCCCTACCAATTGCTTGGTTTGCCGTTTTGTATAAGTGTATGTAATTCCGAAAAACGTACAAATTGCGTTACACAAATTGTGTCTCAACTATTCGCACACTATTCGTACGGCCTGAAATCGTTTGCGTTACTCACTTGTCTCTAAGATTCCTCTTAAAGCGGTTGTACGAAGAGAGCAATTGAAGGACAAAGTCAGCGGTGTCATTGAGCACAATACGCCTATAATCCGATAAATCCATATGAGCATCTGTACACAATTCTGCATGATCACAGACATGCTGATAAATTAGAACAACATACACCAGTGGTGTATGTATGTTGTGAGACGCGGGCAAATATTCCGAGCGCGATTAATAGTATTACTATAAAGAATATCGATCCATTGGTTTAAAGTTTCCTGGATTAAACGGGTACACACCGAATCACACTGAGCGTTCTGAAAACCGGAAGTTTTTCCGCTAATCCGCAATGAAGTGTCATTAACGGTAAATTTTGAGGAAGAAGTGTTCACCATGCATTTTGGTCGAAATACCGTCCGTCGGTAGGCCGCAAACCTAGACAGTACAATGCAAATAATCGGCTCCGTGTGGGTCAACCTGTCAACACTCGACTGGGATTGGCTAG